TTTTTTAATATTTTTTTTTTGTTAAATTAATTTTAATAATTTTAAGAAGTTAATTTTTTTTTTTTTGTTTAAAAACCCCCCCCCCCCCCCCCCCCACACACACACACACACTCACATGTGCACATTGCGGCATATTTTGGGGACTTGGTTTGGTTGGACTCCCTGTATATCAGTGAGCAAATTTTAGATTCACATTTTGGATTCTCAAGACAGTAAGATGAAAAATCTATTAATATGAACATGTTAAGTTTATTAGAAATAATCATGTAATAACTTCATTTGATTTCTACCTAATCAAAATGGAAAAAATACAACAAGAGATCAGTGACATAAATTATAATGGATGGGAGTGTTCGGTTGTTTGGGCTGCAGTATTGAAGTGAGAGATTTTCTTTATTGATCTTGCTCATGATTGTATGAGCCCCTATATATTAACTATGCAGTTTGACTTATGGGAAGAAACATAAAACTAAATTTTGACCTGTTAGAATGAATTGACAGTATTTGTGTTGCTGAGTGCCTATAATAAAATCTCCTCTGTGGGCATTTCCCCTTCATAAAAAAGACTGTTATATTTACAATTTGTGGATCATTATAAAGTTTTAAAAAAATTAAATCAATTATAAGTGATGCATCATGCATTTTTGTAGTCATCTCCTAAAGTTTTTATTCAATTTCAGAGAAATGTAACATGTAAGAAGACCTTGATTAAATTGCGGTTGCATACACCTGTCTATTTAACTCATCCCTCCAACTCATCATCATCTTTCACCCTTGGGCAGAATGGCAGCAGCAGCAGCATCATGTTCAGACCATTCAGATCATTTGGTTACAAATCAGTATCATTAATGATGGTGACTGAGTAGGTTGCATTTGTTCTGCCTCTGTTAGCCCTTCAATCAGATGGTGTCCAAAATATAAGCATGAAGACTGGTTGGTCTAATAAGAAATGAAAAAATATTGAGAATGTACTTACACATGGGTAACTAGCTTTTTTCAGGGTGAATATTTTAAAATTTCTGCCATTTCTAGTCCAATCAGCAATGAAAAATTTTAACATTGTTCTAGTTAGTCATTGTGGTAAAAGTGGGTACAATATTAAGTCCAGTTGTGTGAGGTCAGGTAAGTCTGGGGGTATTTGTCACATTTGTGACAGTTCTAGTATTTTTGTGTGTTTTCATCAAGGTGTTTCCATGGAAACTTCATATTATCCTCGCTTTCCATTTTCTCACGTTCTCCTCAAAGTTTTGCAGGGGTGTAGGGAGGCAGATTTAAAAAGCAGGGTTCTTTTTCTGAAAAAGTGGACCTTTTACAATGAAACCTTCGTGTACCTATATCTAATTTTCACCAGAATTGACCTTTTCCCAGCAAAAAAGGTGGTTCTTTCAAACCCCCTAACCCCCCTGGCTATGGGCCTGGAAGGTTTTAATAATCTCATTCATTGATTTTTCTTATTTTAAACTTGGCTTCCAATTTCCCATTTGATTTAGGCATTCTGAATGCACACATCATGGTTATGGTCTTTGTTCATGACTACATTCAGCTGTGGATTTATCTATTTCATTTATAGGTATAATGCTCATGAGAAACATCTTCACCTAAATTTTACTGTAACCCTATTGTGTTCCAAAAACAAAAAAAAAAAAAAAAGATACTGGCAAGGCTTGTTAATTAAAACTTTAAATATGCTTTAATAAACAATATGTAAATTAAACTCTTAAATAAATGCAACAAACTGTTTGCAGAATTTTGAGGTGGAATATACTGCATTTAGAAGCTGTAGTTGTATAAGCACAGTACAACTTTGAAATGCAGGGACCTATTAAGATGATATAATTTTTGATGGCAATAGTGCTTTGTTGTCTAAAAACAATGATTGGACATAAATGTCATGTCTTCTGATGACAGATTCAGTATTAGAACATGTTGTTTATTGACATTGGTTAGATGATGGGATGTCAGTGGTGTCATGGCAACTGATGGCACCAATTTGGGAATTGTGCCATTTTATATCCCCAAGTTAGGGCTATTTCTGATCTAAGGTAGTCCTCTTTGAATGCAAGTGTACTTTAAACATTACTTGCATCCAGAATTCATTAAAATTTTCTAAAACTTAAAACTAAAACTGTTGCTGTCAGGAGGATGATACTAACTGAGATTTTCAACATTGTCTTCAATCATTTTGCTAGTTCTTAGGCTAATCACAAGTTAATTCTGAATTTTCATGCATCATAGTGTTTTACAGAAGCAATCCAAAAGAATAAAAGTGAGTGCACATAGTTGGCTGCTGATTCTTGGATGATTACACCAGTCAAAGTAGATCAGTTTCTGGTACAGATGTGGGATTGATTGGAAAAGTTGTTGCCTCACAGCAGTGTTGACTCACTCCATCAGTCTGACCATAAGTTATCAGTTGTTAGTAAAAGATGTAGGAAATGCCAGGAAGCTTGTAGTACCAACAGTCGTACTTGTACACTAGATTGAATGGAAATATTACCTGGATTTACAGATGCTGGTGTTTGCCCTTAAGACCATGTTCATTTCCCCGGATGCAGCTTTCATTACATAGAAATTTATTTCTAGTACATAATTATATATGAATATTTATTGTGAAATACTAGTTTTCTTCACTGAAGTCGTAATTTATCTGAAAGATATTAAAACATAACAATTGCCAAAAAAAAAAAAAAACTATCAGTAAATTTCTTGAGTATTTCAAAACAAAAAACTTAGATTGCAATGATAGTTTCAGCTTCTTTCCAACTACCAGTGCTCTCTATTAGGTTTCATATAACTATGTCTGCAAGTATTTGTAATACTGATTTTAATGGAGACAAATATGGTCATCTTATCTTAAATGGCAAAAGGACCTTTTTTAGATAAAACAATGTTAATAAGAGTAAGCATTGCTGGTATAAGGGGTGTTTCTCCTATTGCTCATGATAGGATCAAATGAAGATGAGGTTGTTAGTTTTCCTGTCACGCTGTGCAAATAAAATGATTCATGAACAACATTCAAGATCTTCCTTGCATATAATCTGCTCAAAATAGTTTCATTGTTAAACATTGTGTTACTATGAATTTACTTACATAGTTACAGGACAAAGGATGGACTATGGGCCCTCTCGTCCTCTGTACATAAAATGTTACAGAGTGATCATGATCCTAAGTTTAATCTTCTTTATGCCTCACATTCCTTTTGTTAAAGATCCATTAAAAGCCAATTTTTTTGTCACAAAATCCAACCAAATGCCACCTGTAGTTTTAAATAAAATCATTTAGAGAAATGCCAAAGGGCATTGTTTTATATTCCCCCAAAATAATATTTGCATGGATATTTTCTGTTTTCTTTCTGTGCTTTAAATATCCCTCAATAGTCTCATTTGAATAAGTTTGCAATTTTTAAATTAAAATTGTGCAGGAAGCTATACATCCATACATGGAAGTGAGAGTGACTTTTACAAACTGAAGAGACACATAAATGGGTCAATTTAGATTTGAAGAAGGTGCAATTTTAATTTGGGGGGGGGGGGCAGAACAAGGGATTAATCTGGTTTATGACTTGACATGGCAACTTTACTAGTATTCTAGTCGTATTAGAAACTAGTGGAAGTGGTTAATATGCATTACTGGAAATTCGCTTTCATTTTATTTGTATCTTTAATGGTTGGTAAAATGAACATACAGTTAATAGAAAATAAAGATGTTTAATGGGTTAGAAACTGTAGGGGTGAGAAACGGAGAAGAAGAACAACAGCATAGTGAAGCAACATTTACAAAAGAAAATTCCTACTCTGTCAGTATGAATTACCTGATCTGCATTTATGAATTACCCATGTACCATTTCCTTGCTGTCCATGGACACTTGATATTTTTCAAAATATTTTAGAATAAAGATAATTTTATTGGCCTGTACCCTAAGTTGTCACACAGTAAAATAACTGAAATTCACTATAATTTAATCTTTAAATATAATTGATGTGAAGGTATTGTGGATGTGCTAATGATCATTTTTGAAATTGTGATGAAGTTATGGCTAATTTCTTGTTTTACAGAAGGCAGGACCCAGAAAAAAATGTGCAGCTTGTAAAATTGTAGTACACACTGGCTGCATGACCCATTTAGAGAGGGTGAGTATGGAACTATTTATTTATGATTTATTTATATCTCTATCATCATCCCATGAACAATTAATAAAGTGCAAATAGAGGTTGCACTTTATCTTTTTTGTAATGAATAGTAATGTGCATACAAGGTTTACTTTGATTAAGATTGTTCATTTTGAGTAGATGCAGTACTTCAAGCTGCAATGGATTTTTTTTTTTTTTTTTTTTTTTTTTTTTTTTTGATAAAATTTTCAGAACTTCGGCAAAACAACCTTTTATTTACTAGGAACCATTGCTGCAATGTTCCAAAACAGATCAGTGTATTTGTTTCCTCTCTGCTTTTTGGACACCAAAAGTTGTAATCTCCTGCCTAATATTTTAGAGTGGGAGAATTTTTTATTCTAAAATATTAACAAACTACATTCTGGCAAACCAGGTTAGTTCCTGTGCATTGAGAACAACTGATGCAGAATATTAGAACCCACTCATGTTTTACCATTGTTATAAACGTGGAAGAAACCACAGATGCACTTTTCATAGAACAGCACCTACGCTGTCGAGTCATCAGTAATCCTGCAACCTCCAAATATTGGCTATGCATCAAAGAATATAAAAATGGCTATAATTAGCAGAGTGGGGATTGATTTTTCAGTTCTCTTTTTGTATATTTTTTTTCATTATGTCCATCTCATCTTCCTACCAATTATTTCATTTAAATGTTATTTTAGATTAACATTCTTTGAAAAAAGAAATAGAACAAAATAAGTAGGGCTTTCAATTAAATTCATTCCAAGCAAATTTGCCCCAAAGAAAGATGAACCTCCATAGTAACCCATTATACTCCCTTCATATGTATCTTTAAATTTTCCCTTTATTCTGTTAAAGTTATTTGTGTCAAGAGATATACTACAAGGGTGACCAGAAAGTGAAGATTTAGTACCCTTGCTTTAATTACCATCACTCTCTGTCTCAATCCAAATTAGTTGTCATATACTTTGGTGCTCTTGTCTTGAGTCAGTGGCTTTGAGCATAAACAATTGTGCTGCCTGATATATGTTTTGAAATCTTTTATTAGAGTTCCTCTCACATACATGCATGCAAGTCCAGGTTTTCCCAGGATTGGGAGTTCAGGCCATTCAGAATTATCACCGGTAATTTCGTAAAAATTTTCAGGGAGTTTAAGCCATCATTTGGCTGCCAATGATGACGGCTAGACGATTTGCTGGGAAAAGCCTTGAAGTGCGCACGCACACACACACACACACACACACACACACACACACACATCTGGAAGTTACATTGTTGTAGATCCATGTTTTAGATTATTTTTTAATTCTTTCCGAAAAATATTCTGTATTTTATGCACCACAGTACAACACATACCAAAGAAATGTGATCAGAATATTAATTTGACATTGTAAATGGGCTTATGAAATAAGTATAGGGTATTCTAAATGATCAAATAATGTATCAGTGACATATTATCTAGAAAAATGACAGTAAACTCTTTCAGTATCAGAAGGTGATACATATTCAGTAGAAAATAGGCAATAAAGATAGCACTGATTAGAAATCATCTCACATGGCTAATCAAAATAAATTACAATCAACCTGAATTTACAGCAGATCTAACATATCTATGATAATTTTTTAAAATTGAAAATGATAAAACTTTGGTGGGAATTGTCTAATTTCTATCAGAATTGATGATTGATGTGTTTTTGTAATGTTATGTTAGTGAAACCAATTAAATTGTAAAGAAGCAGAAGTAGCAGTTCATTGATGAAATGCAAAAGAAATGATAGTCATTCTACAGAGTATTAATGGGGATTTTGTTTTGCCTGTGTTTGATTAAAGCTTAGTAAATTTTATTTCAGATTCACTTTGGATGCAAACCAACATTCAGGGAAGCAGGAGTCAGGAACTACAGAGATGTATGCTATATTTACACATTACGGAATCCGTACACATACTTAAAAGAATCATTCATAATTGACAGGAGCTTTTCTTAGAAAATTATAGAAAAACTGGGTTGTGGTACATAATATAACCTTTGTTTAGCTTTCAGTCACTAATAATTTGTAAATTATGACCATTTCCAGGCCTACCCAACTACCAGACCGGCACCAAATGATTCCGAATTCACCAGTAGATAGGACCACACTACCTGCTTTCAAGGTGTGCGTCAATACGCATTGCACAGTATCATACCCCGGAACAAATTTTGAGATGAGATGCACTACTTTCCAACCCTGCTGAGAATCATCACTATCACATTGCGTGCTAGGCAAGAGCAGTGTTGCATCTGATACTTCGAAGTGCGTACTGATACACACCTTGAAAACGGGTATTGTGGTCCGATCTATCGGTGAATTCAGGATCATATGGTGTCGAGTCTGGTAGTTGGGTAGGCCTGATTTCCTGTCACGTCATCTGTCTATTTTAAAGAGAGCAATGCCTTAAAAGTTTTAGCTTGGCAAGGAAATAAGATACCCATTAAAAGGCATAACAATTTTGCTTAGAACTAATCTAAAAACTGCCCAATGTACAGACAGTGTGATGGACCAGCATAAGTGCACCATTAAAGATAACTTATTACATAGGACATCATCATTCTTGGTTTATGAAGCTTATAAAATGCCCCTGCTGAGAGGGTGCTTATGACTTTTTTTTTTTCAGGGGGGGGGGGATATCAACTCTTCATAAATTTCGAAATTTCACAATAAATACATTGTAAACAACAAATAGATATATAATAATTTCCATTTTACCACCACAACAGGAGTTATCGCAATTGATCTAGAATCTGTGCTTGCCATTGGACCATGTGGACCTTTATAGATGCCTATTCTTAAAACAACACTTAAAAAAACATTGGAAAGTATGGGAAAATTGTCATTTACCCCAGAAAAATGAAGAGATGTCATCCTTTTAATGATTTTTTCAGTGTAAGGAAAGCTGAAAATACAATTAAAATGGGTGCCTTATCCATTTTATAACATCGTCAGTGAGCCCATTCTCGTTTGTACTTGAATTGAACCATTCAACTAAGGGTTAACATAACTTTGCAGGGCAGTTTCTGAAATGCTGAACTTATGGAGAATGATAGTAGGGCATGATGAAAGTGGAGATTGTAATTGCATGTGATTCTTTGTAAGGATTGGGATAATCTTGCACCATTAGCCTCCATTCAAAGTCGTGCCTCCCCCACACTCTCATGTTGCGATAGAATTCAAAGGAAGGTGATGGATTTATCAGGACCTCTCGTGTGTTTTTTGGCTCACTTTGAGTGTTGCTGTCTGGCTTTCTAAAGGGCAATGGGATATGGTTTGTTGTCTAAATACAAAAAGGGAAGGCTCAAATTAGGTCTTTGAACTTCAGTTTCTAGCACAGTTGTCCTTAAATTAGTTACATTCAGGCAATATTTATTTATCTATGGCACAGTAGATCTTTACATTTTTAAACTAATTTGTAGCCTTGTGAGTTCTCTGATTTGATTGTATACAATAAAAGTCAAAAACCATTCCTTAGATATGCTTACAGTATGATAATATTTTGTAATTTTTTATAGAATGTTTTATGATATGCTTGGTGGTTTTACTGTTATGGCTTAACCTTGTTTTATATCATTTCAGCAAACATTTGTCAGACATCACTGGGTTCATAGGAGAAGACAAGAAGGAAAATGTAAACAATGTGGAAAGGTAAGTCTGATTTAAAGAAATGTTTATTTAATTTATTGCTCACAGTCATGATGATCATGTGCACATGTATGTGTGCACATACATATGCACTTATATACAGAGAGAGAGAGAATTTTTAATAATATTAACAACTTACTACTACTAGTACTAATATTGATTACATTTATGCAGAATACTGGAAATTTAAGGTCTAAATGATAAGTGTTGCATTTATGACATGAAAGTATCTTATTATTTGAATTGTGAAACCAATTTGAACACATTTCATTGATTTATTTTTTTAAAGATTTTTTTCACAAAAAATAGCACAGATTTTATTATGTCTTTGCGTGTTTCTGAATTTAGTATTAAAGCATTAACTATTTATATTCTTTTGACATTTCAGTCCTTCCAGAATAAATTTGGGTTCCATAGCAAGGTGAGGGTAACCACCTAGAAATGCTGCTTAGCAGTGTGTGTGTGTGTGTGTGTGTGTGTGTGTGCGCGTGTGTGTGTGCGCATATATTTGCATGCATGTGTGTGTGTATTGATAGATCCAAAATTTTACTCTGCCCTAAATAGTTGTTTTATTAAGTTCAAAACTTGACGCAAGTCTGAAAAAAGACTGGTGGTTGAAAAGAGAGTGTCTGCACTTTTATGTTTGTGATGGAAAGGATGTTTGTGTAAAAATATGTATGAGAAGGCATTATCTCCTTATAACAGCAAGAGGCTAGGTTACACGTATAAATTAATGATTTTCCTTACAGTGAATTGGTACTTTCATTGATCTAATATTGTTAGTGTCCTAATGCAATTAGAATTCTCCTGTGCTCACTGGCACCAAGCCGGCATTTACATGAGTTAATGTCAAAACAAATTGCTGCTAATAGTTTTCCAATGTGATTGCCATAAAAATGGTGGGTCTATTTGTCTGCAGCAGTTGATTGTTTTGCACATGATTGAACATAAGAATACTGATATAATAAGTTTAGTCTTTAGATGTAATTTATGGTCATCATGCAAGTATGATATGCACTGAGAAAGCACTAGAAAAACTTTTTCAGGGAATGATACAAGTATAGAGGTGTGACAGTGAGAGAAATATCACACAAATAGAATTTGTTTTATCTCATCACTTTGAATGGTAAGACAGGCAATGAATACCAATGATGTGTTTGTTTGACAATTACTAATCTGCTCATGTTTTATTTAAAAAAAACCAAATATCATCCAAACAAACTTTATTCAATTCCAGGAAATCATTGCCATTTCTTGCTCTTGGTGTAAGGCTGCATACCATAACAAAATCACGTGTTTCATGATGCAGCAGTTGGAGGAGCAGTGCACTCTGGGAAGTCATGCGGGTATCATCATTCCACCGTCTTGGATCATAAAAATACCCAAAAAGGTATATACTGTGTTATGAACTCCTACCATTTTACAGTACAGTGAATTTTCATTTAAAATACATTTTACTTTAAAAATTCCAATCTTAACAGGACTGTGAAATGTGACAGGTTGATCAAGTTTTTAAAGAATTTTATTAGATTTTTTGGTTATGAAGCTTATCTCCCACCCATACCCCCTCCAGAAAAATAGTGGCATTTCAGCTGAGAAATTGAAAGATCATTTAAACCGACTTTGGTAAAGTTGAAGGAGGTTCAAAATGAATGGTTTTTTCTTGGATAATTTTATACACTGACATTATTTATCACTTCTTACAAAATTTAGAAGAAAAACTCAAAAGCTATTCTATATGATTTTTATTTAATGTAAATGTACATACTGTATTCAAGTTTTGTTAAGTTTTTTTGATCAGTGCTTGATCTGTTACTTTATTGGCAAAAAGTGTCACTGTTGTGATAAACATTTTCATCTAAAAGTGCCTGCCTTTATTGCAGTGTCCCTTGATTGTCTGTATTAATTCCAGGAACTGATAGTTTATCTGTAAATTAATCTTTGGTTCACAGGAACAGTAGATATCAGTTGATGGTTTGGTTTCCAATCCAGATGGGTTATGGCCAGTTCCTTATTACTCAGCTTATGCAGTAAATTTCTCTCCCTGACTAGTTATGTCCAGCAACTGCCAAAAAGTAATTTGAGATAACAGTAATTGTATGATATGGAAAAGATTTAAGAAGTGGTTTTCCTCTGTGAATTCGATCTTCTTCAGAGCCAAATAGACTGTTTATCTGTACTTTTATATAAGTTCATCAGGTTTAGAATAGTCGCAGAATAAACAAAGGAATTGTTATCTGGAATGGCTTATATATCCAGATGCACAAGTTTATTTTTCATTTTACTAAGAATGAAGTATTACTTGAAGACTAGAACTTGGAAGTTAAAATATTATTGTAGAATATGTTTCGATTTGTAGAGTGTGCAACACTTGTCCTAATCATTTTTTAAATCCAACTGACTAGTTTTAATGTTTTCTTTCATTTTTTATTAAATTATTGATTTTAAGCTATGATAATATTGATTTTTTGTTGTTGTTGTTTATTGAAATTCGTTTCCAGGCATATTTATTTAGATATTTTATTCTTTAAAGCTAGTTTTTGTCACTCATAAATGATTCATCTTGAATTATAAGTAGTCATAATTTAATTCATTTGAAGGGCTCATTTAAATCATCTATAAAAAAGAAGCGAAGGGGTTCAGCAAAACGAAGAAAAAGCAAAGAAGCTGACTCAAAACCCTTCATTGTCAAGCCCATTCCATCCCCACACATGAAACCACTACTTGTCTTCATCAACCCAAAGTCTGGAGGCAACCAGGGGGCAAAAATCATGCATAAATTATACTGGCTGCTAAATCCAAGACAAGTGTTTGACTTATCCAGAGGTGGGCCACGCATGGGGTAAGTGACTGTGCTTTAGAGGAGAATGAAACTGCAACAAGCACAATGAAACCATATGAAACCATAAGATGTTTAATTTTCCATGATAATGCATTTTTTAAAGATATACTATCCTTATTTACTCAGGATGCAGTTTATCAAATGATGCAGACAGTTGTTTTGAATTTTTTAAAATTAGTTATTGAATTTTATTGATGTTGCCACTTATAACCCATGGAGGCTCAGTACTGCGGTGCAGAGCTTCAAAAATTTCGCTGCTTTTCTGACATCAACTTTTCACAATTTTTATGAGCACTGGAGTCATACTGGTAGTTGTTCTGACTATAAAAGTGGTCTATAATTGTATTAACAAGCATGTATGATTTTTTTATTGAAATTTCAAATATTCAGAGCTGTTATCACCCTTTTCAGATTAGAATTATTTAAAAAGGTGCCAAATTTGCGCATTCTGGCTTGTGGCGGTGACGGCACAGCAGGTTGGGTTCTCTCAGCTCTGGACACCCTGGGTATTAACCCCCTTCCACCAGTTGCAATACTACCCCTGGGTACAGGAAATGACTTGGCTAGAACACTGGGCTGGGGTGGAGTAAGTGTTGGAATTAGATTGAACTCTAAATCAGACAAAGTTGTTTTACGTTTGAAGTTTGTAGTGGGATTTTAAATCAGATTGTTATATTTGTTTTTTGGAGTTTTATGCATAAAATTCATTTTCATAAATGCTGCTTTATTGTGAACTTAAGCATGAAGATGATTTCATTGGTTTTTCAGGGTTATACAGATGAGCCCCTGTCCAAGATATTGTCTGCTGTGGAAGAGGGACAGGTGGTGGAGCTGGACAGGTCAGTGAAGAACATGCTTTACTTTTTTTCCCAGCTTTGAGCTTTGACTTTCTTTTTTTTAATTGGCATTTATATTGACCAGAGATATTATTTTATCTATTTAGTATCAAAAATCTGAATAATCAAACTTGAGTTAAACATAAGTTACTTTTAACTAGAGGAATTTAATTAAGTTGCTTCTTATATATTAAGTGGGAAAGTTTATAGTGATATTCTAAGGAATAAAAGCCATTTCTTTTCTGTACTAGTTTATTTTTACTCAAAATTTAGATGTAGATTCAGAACAGTTTTGTCATGTAATAACTAGATTTTGTCCTGGATTGCTAGGTGGAATCTTAAGGTGCAAAATCTTGCTGTGTCAGAGCCAGTAGATACACTGGATGAGAAAGAGGAGAAGGGGGAGCCCACCCTCCCTCTTGATGTCATGAATAGTTATTTTAGTCTAGGAGCAGATGCACATGTGGCCTTAGAATTCCATGAAAGCAGAGGTCAGTACTTTTCTTAAAAAAACTGGTTGAAGGAGAAAAGTTCAACAAACCTGTCATTTAAGATTGATTTACTTTCATTAAAAATCTTGCTGTGCAAAAATCATTTTTGTGTTAAAGTCAAGAAGTGATGGATTATATTTCTTATGGTACTCTTACCTTACAGCAAGTTTTGCACAGAATATTTGAGATGCGTCTTCTTCAGTGTTTGTGTCTATACTGGCTGGTAAATCATGTGTCCTTTTTGTTTTAAAGATTGAAAAAATCATAAAGCAGTTTATTATTTTGAGGATTATATTTACATTTTTTTACCTTTCAGAAGCAAACCCTGAAAAATTCAACAATAGGTTCAAAAATAAGATGTTCTATGCAGGAGTAAGTGAAGTAGATTTGTGTATTTTAATATGTGTATTTGTGTACGTTAAAACAGATTTGAAAAGAGAAGTCTTTGATATCTGTTCCTTTTTAGTGTCCAAGTGAAAATTGTGCCAAAATTTTATACTTTTACCTATTTTATGAAATAAAAGGAAGGAAAAAAATATATTTCAAGTTGAAATAAAAGGAAATTTATAACTTATAATACCCTACATTTTGTTGCAGGCTGGCGGTAGGGACCTATTGAGAAGAAGCTGGAAGGATTTAGCTGAACATGTTAAAGTTGAGGTAGGCAGAATAATTTTTATTATCATATTATTTATTGAGTAGGTAGGAAGAATTTTATTTTTATAAGCAAAAAGATATTTGTATTAATCATATATATTTTGAAAATATCTCTCAAGTGGTTTTGAAGAGTCCATGAATAGAATTTTGGCAAAGCTTTTGGAGTCGGCAACATGTCTCTAATACTTATTGACCAACTTTAGTAAGTTTAAAACTATACTTTAAATATCATTTAATATATATTTTAAGTACCACATTTTCACTTAGTGTCTTTAACTGAGTGAACAATAACTTGAATTTCTTGCATTGTCACTTTGCCTAAAAAGTTACAGATGAGTTATTTAATTTGTTCATTAAATCAAAATATGGAAGATACAATGCAATATCTCATTCTGTCCCTCTCATTAAATATTGGGTCATTTAAGAAAGGATAAAAGACAATTTTTTTCGTAAATGTCCTTTTAAAAAATTCCACATGTTGAATAATTTTATATTCTAGGGAGATGGTATTGATCTGACTTCAAAGATCAAAGAGATGAGACTTCATTGCCTTTTATTCCTGAACATCCCTAAATATGGTGCTGGCACGAGTCCATGGGGAAGTTCGGGTTCAACATTTGATCCCCAAAGACATGATGATGGTTACTTAGAAGTGATAGGTTTTACAACAGCCTCTTTGGTAATTGAAAAAATGTTTTTGCAGCAATGCATGCCAGCATATGCACTCTTTTGCACACATTGAGTGGTAGTCAAATAGATCAGAAGTAAAAAAAGTCCTTGATTGTATATCAAAGAAGTTAAAATATTTTGCAAATGTATAGTGTTTATTGAATATATGTATTATCTCAAACATGATCTGATGAACATGAATGATTTCTATGATCTTATTTATTTGCAGGCTGCACTACAAGTGGGTGGACATGGTGAGCGCATAGCTCAGTGCAAGGAAGTCCACCTCACTACCTATAAAACCATTCCTATGCAAGTGGACGGTGAACCGTGCCGTCTGCTGCCCTCAGTGATAGAAATCTCCCTCCGTAACCAAGCAAATATGATACAGAAGCCCAAACGAAGAGGATCAGTGCCTATCCTGAATGAGTATGTTGTTTTAAAGTTTGGTGTTGCCATAGGCTTCAGATAATTTATTTGGATTAAGAAAATTAGAATTGCATTTTTTTATGAAATGTGAATAAAAATGGACGCATTTGTAAGAGAAATAATACTTCCTGAAAATGTCTTATGAATTTGTGTATAACTTTTAAGAAGCTCTTGTTCTTCATTTACTTTCTGTTGGATCATATGTATATCATAAAGACATGAGTAATATTTTGATAAAAAATACAAAAACTAACAGATTTTTATTGCATGCCTGTTGTACACATTGTGCTGTAAGTCTTCTCCATGACTATTGTGTGTAGTATCATTCCTGTGGACATTTTGGATGTGTATAATGTGCATGTCATCTTGCTAATCCTGTACAATGCTTTTCTAAATTTTGTGCCATTTCCTCTCCCCATACATTAGCATTCAACTGCTTCTTTTAAAGCACTGCACAAGTATCTTAGTAGTATTTTCCCATACTGATAAATCAGATTTATGTATTACTGTAACAGAGGTTTTCTGTCATGTAACAAATCACGATTTCTGCTAGAAATTTGAGGAATGACAGATTGTTTAAATGATATCCAGTCATTTACAGATGTATAATTCTCGTGCTTTTACAACTCTTGCTATGCAATTCAACACTGCACTTATTTACCCACAAAAAAAATGACAAAAAAGTGTTTAATTCACTCATTGTTTGAGCGGTCATACTGCACATGTCTAAACTTTTTTGAGTAAATTTAATATTGCAATAAAATTGTAATCTAATGTTGCTAGATTGTTTAAAACCGATTATTTTTTGTACATTTAAAGCCAGATATGATATAGGCAAAGTACATTTTCAAACTTTTCTAATTTCCATGTTTGATTGTTAGATTAAGAAAAAAGTTAGGTTTAGCAGCAATTAAAATTTTTCGACATTCTGCGCTTTTTTTTTTTTTTTTTCTTTTGTAAAATGTAACATGCTACTTAACCACAGTATTCTTTTTCTAAATGTAACAGTTTTGCCTGCATTTCCAGTGTTACATGAATGCTTTGTAAATCACAAGTTATTTTAGAGATTTTAGTTATTCTCCTGGGCCCAGTTGCACCAATGGAGCATTAAATTGCTAGGATACAACTGTCATAAACCGCAATGCCTGGTGTCTGTGTACCAGGTTTACTCTCCCTGCACCAATAGAAACATGACCCTCTTACTTACAACCAAGTAACACTTCACTGGATCACTATCCAACAATACATGAATGGTATAACAGGGCAAATGAGGAGATTGCAGCTGCAGTCATAATAGAATAAGGACATACAAAAAGACATGAAATGTGAATTTCAGTGGTGGCGGAGAGATTCACAAGGCCCATTATTCTGTTTTGATTTAAGAATTAAAACAATAAAATAAGTTAACTTTGCTGTTGCCTGAGATATATCGCAACAAAATCAACATCTTATGTTCTTTTAAGAAATGTTTTCCAAATTAAATTGTATCAAGAAATGTCAAAACATTATTTTATGCCTGTTAAAATTAGTAAAACGCGTTGGAGGCAGAACAATTAATGGATTTCAACAAGTTCGTATTTTTTTTCAAAATTTTGACTCTGAAAATAATGCCTAAATTGCACATTTAAGGCCAATGTTGTTGTTTTTTTAATAATTTTACAACAGTGGCAACATTTTCATGACCTACTTATATATAGTTGACTACCATGTGATATGACTTGCATTAAGTGGGCTTACATCTTGTAGTTTTGAAATACAAAAGCCCTAATACAGATGGGCATAAATGTGTTGATATTCAAAACTTTCATCTCTATGTTTACTGTACATCATGTGTAATATGATTAATATAAAATGAAAAGAAAAAATAATAAAAGCTATGGTTATTAGAAAATTATAAAGATAAATGTAGAAACCTAACTGCTTAGAGCCAACACCTTTTAATCTATCTTGTGTCAAGATTTAACTTGAACATATACACGGCTACACACTAATACCTTATGAACGGATTTTACATTAGCATTGGTTAACATTATTGATATTAGTTCACAATTTCCTCATCTCAGTTCAACAAACATAAAATGTACAATAAGTAGGCTTCATGAACAATATGATTAGGAATCACTTTTTTGCAACATACAGATAGCATATATTATGTTTTAGTGTTTTAAAAACGAAGCCGCTGCTCAATAATACAGACAGATACTTAGTGGAAGAAACAAACAATTCATAACACAATTTTCCATGTTAAGTACGATAATTGTTATCAAACTCTGTGTGCCAGCTTAGCTATAGTGGAAAACATGCTATGACTGACATACACCATCTACATGATAGGCGTTAAATTACGACTAAGTTAAGACTAAACGCAACTCCATTTTGGTGCAACAGACTTTGCTTAGGCATATCATTTTGCACTGAGTTACTCGGGCGCAACTGCTTCTCCTGAGTTATGCCACGTTGGTGCAACTGGGCCCTGGTATTTGACAACGCTACCATCCCCCCCCCCCCCCCACACACACACACACACACACACACACACACACACCTTCTAGTTAGGTCTTGAATTCCCTGCCAAAATTTAGAGAAACACCTACAATATCAACAAGAATCATTTGCATATATGTAAACTAAAGCTTTAAAATCTTTTTTTTTTTTATTCATTTTTTACTCCTTATATTTTATTCTAACCTAGCAATATTTTAAAATAATATTTCTAAGGAGAACAGAAAAAAAGAACTACCTTCTTCGTCTTTCCCAGCTGAAGCAGTGGTCAGCAGGGAAGGCCAGTGACTAGGTATGTTGAAAGACTTGATGTTGGGTAAGATGTGCATCTTGTAGTGGTGCTTCATTGACTGCCAGGAATGCGAGGTGATCTGATGAATTGAAATGAAAATTATACACATCATGATTTCATATAAGAACTATGTCTACCTGAAAACTCTTATAGTGGAACTTACCTTGGCAAGTGACGGATGTTGCAGCCTCAATCTGAGAGTTTTCATTAGGTAATGAGGTTGAGACAGCAATGTAGGTCAGTTGCTAATGTAAGTTCCAGTATCAGGGTTCTACATAGTTCTCATTCCAAATCTATGGATGACTCAATACATTCAATCATTTATAAATTAAAAATTTTTATGAGTAAACATTTTTAATTATTCTAGCTTATTCATGTTATCCACATAAGAACCAAGCACGAGTAGGTAGGCAGGCAGGTAGATGGATAGATAGGTAGGAAGGTAGGGAAAGTAGGGATATTAATTCTAAGAAACATTTATTTTGGAATTTTCATAACAATGTTGAAAACTTTTTTCATATTAGCTCAATTTCATAAAAACATACTTCCAATTTCTCCATGTCCTTCCACACTCTGTTTCCACCAACATCCAGATATAATCTGTTTTCCACTATATGTTTTATGATGTTCACTTCCTCAGACAACATGTACTTCTTCCTCCTAAATCACCAATGTGAAAATTACTGAGATACAAAAGAAAAGAAAAACACACAGAAAAA